TAAGTGGAAGGATGCCATCGAGTTTGTGTACTGCCACACAAACTGTAAGTGTGGCATTTATTGCAGCTGCAGTTGCATGCTTGGAAACCCCACATAACTGCACAACTCCTTGTATAACACGCAGATGTGCTGTCCAAGTCTGCATTGGAGTACTGGAGGATCAGCCAGGCGTGCCTTGAAAAGAAGAAGCGGGCAATCATGGCATCGATCATCCGAGTGGCATATGTGAATGCCAAGGCAGCTGTAAGTACATGTTGTTAAATAGTTCTGGGCTGACTCTACTGTGTTTAGCGGTTTAAGATCCAGGGTTGGATTCCCGGGGAGATCCCCAAGTTCGGGGGAACGAGGGTAAGCTAGCTGCTGAGATGTGGAGTTGATTTTAAAGTTGATTGATCAGGTTGCACGCTGGAAAGGTGGTGATTTCTGAACCCTCCGTCTCTTCGGATGTCCGGGTGAATGGACGAGGAAGGGCCCCCCGAGCATCCCTCCAGCTGCTAAACTATTATTCCAACAGACTATATCAATTCGGCCCATATGCTGCATTTGCAGGGATCCTGCCAGACCCCTGCCACGGCCCCAGCCGTCATGATGGGTGAGATGAACAGTGGTGCCACCGAAGCAGCAGCAGGTACGCGGGGTATGGGTTATGGGTATGATGTATTATGACATGTCATTGTGGATGTATCCATGGCACATGTCATGCAGTTGCTTGTAGGTTCCTGAACATCGCAGGGCACCAGTATCATGCATTTTGGGTCTTACATATGCTCACATCTTGATGTTCTGCTAGCAGGTCTCAGCTCAGATGGCCATGGCTGCACCGGAAGCGGCTGTGATTGCTGGCAAAACAATTATGGGGCCAGCTGGTTGTGAGCCAGAGGGTGACTACCTGGAGGACCTGATTGGCGAGAGACTTGACGATGTCATTGCAGAGTATGGGGACACCATGGCGACGGGTGGCACTGGTGGTGGTGCATATGGGATGCCTGACCATGAAACCATGTGGTGCACCGCCATCACTGCTCACCAGATGCGGGCTGAGCTTGCTGCAGTGAAACAAGCTGCCAGGGCACACACTTAAGTCCCTGAAGGTTTACGGATTGAGACCTGCAAGGAGTGAAGTTCATAGTTATGATATTGATAATGGAAGGCAGTTGTGGTTCAGGAATGTAGTTGAGCTGCAGGTAATCTGGCTTACTTTATAGGATGCTACTGGTGGGTGATTTACCTGATTGATCCACTGAAACATTGAGGTTTGTCACCTTAACGGTGTGGAGTGTTGGAGTACATACATTTATTTGCGATAGCAGACTTGGAGTCTGGAGCCCACATATTGATGGGTTGCTGGTCATGACTTATAAGCCCACAGTGAACAACTTCTGGGATGTGCGCAAAACATGGGCCAGGGGTGGTCATGGAGTGCAGTGTATGACTCATGTAAACAATGTAAAACATGTGCCAATGTGGTCATGGAATGCAGTGTACGCGTCATGTAAACCAAGCAAAACATGGGCCAGGGTGGTCATGGAATGCAGTGTACGACTCATGGAATGAGTGCAAAACATGGGCCAGGGTGGTCATGGCCTGCATTGTTGCATCATGGAATACCATGCACAATATGACCTGGTCATGTTCCGCATATTTATGAGCAGGTACATGACCACCTTTATGACCTCATGGGGTCATAAAGTGCAGCCATGACTGAATACGGTCATATTGCGGTCCCATGACCTGTCATAAATCCCATCATAAATGACATCATGACCACGCATTTCATGACCCCAACCAGTCATATCCTGCACTTGCTTATGCAAACTATGAACTGATCCATGACCGGATCCATGACTTAATGACAAATTATGACCGGATCCATGACCACATACATGACCAAATCCATGACTTGATGGCAAATTATGGCCGGATCCATGACCGCATCCATGACCAAATCCATGACTGGAAAACCCATCCATGACCAAGTCTTTCCCCGAGTGATAACATGCACTAACTCTATATACCTGCAATTATTTAAGCGAGCGAAACTGTTTGCAAGCTGCTTGGCAGCCTTGGCTTGTTCATCATCTGCCTGGCGGGAAACAGGAAACAGCTAAAGGGGAGGCAGGGATGCACACAGTCAAATAGTCAAGATGTGCATGCGTATATGTATATATACGTGCATATAGATACACGTATATCATGCTAGATGCTCTGAGAAAAGGTACAGGAGGTGGATGAGAAAGAGGGAGGAGATCTCCTCTAGAGTTTGAGTCTAAGCAAGGAATGAAGCAAGGGTGTCCTTTATCTACGGAGCTGTTTGGACTCTTCATTGAGACGTTAGCTGATCTGATTGATATTCATGACCTTGTAGAAGCTGGAGTACGTAAGCATGACACACCACATGTGGACAGCAAGCGCGTGTAACAGCCGTCTCTTACCTTAGCTGTTTTAGCGGAAGACTTTAGATGTAAGGCCGTGGATGAGGAGGGTCTCGACCACGATTGACGGCCCAGCGTTAGGCGCGAGAAAAGACACGAGAAGTCGGAGTTCGAAGACATACGTCGAGAATGGTGACAGCAGAGTCTTGAACTCCGAACACTGGTATAGTGATACGAAAGTGTCTGGCCGAAGCACTTCACCTGGGTGGCTTAGATGCGGCCCACCTGCCGCCATCTCCATTCCTGGAGTCTTGGTGTCGTACGCTAGGTTGTGATAGCGCAACAGAAAGTGAGTTCGTACAGTTAACGAGTATGGTTCGTAACTACGGGACTGTACTGTTACTGTGATTAAGCTTTAATAGCTTAAAGATATTCTAAGGTAAATGTAGCTTGCTACTGCGCGTCTCCGGATCCATACTGCTGTACGCGGTTCAGGAGTTAATTCCCCTTTTTCCCTGCCCTGCCAAACCCTGCCAAACCAAGTAGGCCTCAGAGCAGCAGTTGGAGCTTCAGCCACTGGCCGCCGGTGCGGTTATAACCATAATTATGGTGGTGCCACCGGCAATATATTGTAAGCCGTACAGTTTTCTTGAAGGCAGCAAACGAGGCGCGTGATGCATTGACAGAGTTCACTCTCCTGGCAGAGCACAACGATTTACCCAGCCTACCTTCACCATGAATCTGCACATGTGCATATGCAAGAAATTCAGGGCTTTGGGAAACCAAGCATAGGGCCCCTGTACTCCACGACGTTCGTACTCGTTGGCTGAAATTCAGTGAACGTTCACTAAAATGTGACCGTTGAGAGTAACCGTTCACGGAACGTTTACTGAACGTTCACGGAACGAGGATACCCGCGTTTAGCTAAACCCTATAGGGTACGTCCCTGCTGACGGGTCCATGGGACGAAAAGTAATCTAACAATGCGATTCATACCTACCAGGTCCTGTGGCGTAACCCAAACGTCCCTGAAAGTAGAAAATAAAATATTTTTAGCTTTCAAAGCAGCCAAATCTTCTTGCTGCCTGCCAGACAGGTTCATTCTGTCTGAAACCAATCAGTAAATTGTGACTCGATCTAGCCTTGGCTTAAAAGGGCTGAGCGTTGATCAAAAGCTGTTGGCCGCCGTTCCTTCGCTTTCAGACCTTCCGCCATCGAGCTACATCGGTCAGCTTTGCCCAGTATTTCACAAATCAATTGAAACTGTGTATTGATCTAGTTTATTCACAATGTTCAAAAAGCCCTTTTCAATTGGACAATCGCACAAAGTTAGCGGAGCCGACCGGAAGAAGCTTCGACGGTAAATTCGTGTGGTGTGTCCATCGGCTAGATTACTGTATAAACCTTGCCAAACCTCAAAATTCGTTCCAGCTTGTGCACCTTGTGTGTGCTCTGGCGCCACGGCGAAAAGTGTCGTCGCAATCCCGCGACCAACCTTCCTCCGCGTGCTGGTGACACGATTTTTTCCTCAGTGCTCTGGAACAAACCTTTGGCGTGAGCGAGGAGAGCCTGGAGGTGCTTCTCCCCGCCAAGTCCGGGGAGTTAGAATGCGCCAAGTTGGCCTCCCCCTCCCGCGTGGTGCTCTACTTGCATGACGGCCAGCCTATTCTGGTTGACCCAAATGGGAAAGGAGACTACGTGCCCACCATTTTTGCTCTATGGAGGCTGCCAACCCTCCTGCCGCAGGTGTGCAGCTGCACGTCGTTTCCTTCCCCCCGTCTTCCCCCCTACTTGTAAACCCCTTGGGATCCTGTTCGGGGTTTCGTCACGATGTCTGACACACCGCATCACACCCGTGCCACACGATACACTCAAACATCCTCCCCGGCCCCCTTTCTCGTATCTTCCCCCCACCCCCTAACCCACCCGTGCTTTAGATGTCAGTTCTTTCTCCTTTGACTCCTGATGCCATACAACTCCCACCCACTCCCTTTGCTTTGCGCGCGTGATTCCCAGGGCCCCCTTCCCTTCCTTCTTGGGTGTAGTAACCCCCGGGACCCCGCCTTTGCCTTCGCTATTTGCATATAATGCCCTTTCCTCCCCATTCCCGTCCTTAGGTCCATGTGAAGCACCCGGCCGTAAGTCGCTACATAGTGGGTGGCGCCGATCTAATGTTGCCGGGTGTGCTGCTGCCCGCCGACGGCCTGCCCCCCTTTGAGAGGGACCAGCTGGTGGCAGTCTGCAGCCCAGGGAACGCGGCGCCCGTGGCAGTGGGCAGTACGACAATGGGGGCTGTGGATGCGACAGCTCGGATTCGGGGGGCAGGTACGGCAGGACCCAAGGGCAAGCTGGTGGAGCTGTTGCAGGTGCGTGGGGATTTGGGTGGGGGAGGGGGAGGGATGGCGTGAGGGGGAGGGGGGTGACATTGGGTCGAGCAGGGCGGTGGGGGAGAGGCGGCCGGGGACGTGCGAGTGGTGAAGGTAATGGGCTACCACTGGAAGCCGCGCCACTGCTTTGGATTGCGTGGATTGCGAAGTTAAGACGACCGCGTTCGTTTTGTCCTTGACTCCCCTGCCCTCGTTCCCGTACATGTTTGCATCGGCAGTACAGTACCGCTTCTACCTCACGGGGTGGGGACTCACCCTCCCTGCAAAGCAATTTAACTTTTACTTTACTTTTTACTTTTTTTGGCTTTTCCACCCCTTTGTGAAAACACCCGGGCACCGCACACCCGCGCACGCAGTATTACGGGGACCACCTTTGGTCGGATGTGGGGGGCCGTGCGGTCCCAAACGAGGGCTTCCTTTCGGATGGAGTTGTGCCGGTGGGGGCGATATCGGTCGAGGCGACCCTAGGGGGGCAGCTCCAGGTGGGTGAGGGGGGTCGGGGGGTTGGGACAGAGGTCGGTGAGAGGGGGTAAGAGAGGGACACGGCTACTGCCATGTTGCTGCGGGGGTGGGTTTACGCTGCTTGCTTGTTTGCTTGTCTGTTGCCGGGCTCTCTCTGCCCCACCTCAATAGCCCTTGACCGAATTGACTGACTGACTGCCTTATGTGTACGCACGTCTGTGCATATGTATGTATGTGTATGTATGTATGTATGTATGTATGTATGTATGTATGTATGTATGTATGTATGTATGTATGTGTGTCCACACGGCTTATCTGGACGCTTATCGTGCCGACGTGCCCGCGGTAGCCCGTTATCGTTTGCAAAGCTCGCCTGCCTTTCTACACTCAACACCACCTCGCCTCACACCGCCTGCTGCGCCTGCATCCCTCACCGCAGGTCGAGGACGAGGACGCGGAGGGGGCAGTAGCTGGTGCTGGCAGCGCTGCGGGTAAGTAGGTGGGTGCGTGGGTGGGTGCGTGGGTGTGGGTGCGTGGGTGTGGGTGCGTGGGTGGGTGCGTGGGTGTGGGTGCGTGGGTGTGGGTGCGTGGGTGTGGGTGCGTGGGTGTGGGTGCGTGGGTGTGGGTGCGTGGGTGGGTGCGTGGGTGTGGGTGCGTGGGTGTAAGTAGGTGGGTGTGGGTGCGTGGGTGTGGGTGCGTGGGTGTGGGTGCGTGGGTGTGCGTGGGTGGGTGTGGGTGCGTGGGTGTGGGTGGGTGGGTGTGGGTGCGTGGGTGTGGGTGCGTGGGTGGGTGCGTGGGTGGGTGCGTGGGTGGGTGCGTGGGTGTGGGTGCGTGGGTGTAAGTAGGTGGGTGTGGGTGCGTGGGTGTGGGTGGGTGCGTGGGTGTGGGTGCGTGGGTGTGGGTGCGTGGGTGCGTGGGTGTGGGTGCGTGTGAACATCCCTCCCAACGCAGTCGTGCCGCTGTTGGCCTCGCAGCCATCTAGGCTTTCCTTGGCCCCATCGCGTCGATGGTGGTTCTATCTCACCACCACCACGGCGTCTCAACGTGGTGGTATCTGTACGTTTTGTCTATCTGTGATTTAACGCTTGTGTGTCGCTTGCTTGCCTGTGTGTTTGTCCGTCCGTGTGTTTGTCCGTCCGTGTGTTTGTGCGTCCGTGTGTTTGTCCGTCCGTGTGTTTGTCCGTCCGTGTGTTTGTCCGTCCGTGTGTTTGTCCGTCCGTGTGTTTGTCCGTCCGTGTGTTTGTCCGTCCGTGTGTTTGTCCGTCCGTGTGTTTGTCCGTCCGTGTGTTTGTCCGTCCGTGTGTTTGTCCGTCCGTGTGTTTGTCCGTCCGTGTGTTTGTCCGTCCGTGTGTCCGTGTGTCTGTCCGTCTTTGTATGCGAATGGATATATGCACTCCGGGCCTCTGCAGGTAAAGAGAGCGCTGCCGGAGTGGGCAGTGGCGCCGGCGGCAGCGCTGACGACACCGCCAGTATCAGCGCCGCTGCCGTCGCTGCCGCTGCTGCCGCTGCTGCCAGTGCAGCGGCCCGGCAGGTCCAGGAGATCACGCTGGCGTCCACGTCAGCGTCGGACTCGCTAGCGGAAGAACGGCCCGCGGCAGCGGCAGCGGAGAGCAGCAACAACAGCAGAAGCAGTAATAACATTAACAGCAGCAGCGGCAGTAGCAGCAATCAGGGGGCCGCCTCGGCGTCCGGCGGTGTGGAGGTGGACATGGACTCGCTGCTCGAGTCGGTGCTGCTCCAGGCGCTCCATAAGAGCGTCAAGGATGCGGGTGAGTGAGTGAGTGAGTGAGTGAGTGAGTGAGTGGGTGAGTGAGTG